CACAACCCCCCGGAGGGGGGGAGGGTAGCCCACCCCATCCCCGAACTCATAAAGTCATAATCCCCCAACCCAATTACAGGCGGGATTTGATCCCAAGCCATCCTTACCACCAGCAGGAGACCTTCCCAACCAGCTGACTGGCCATATAGGAAAAAAATGAATGAATGAATGAATGAAAGATTATTGTTACTTTGCTTCAGTTTCAAGAAAGAAGATGGAACAATGTCTTATTCTGGAGGATTGTGTTAGTATTTTTTAAAAAAAAATTTTAATTACATGTCATTATGCAATAACTTACAAATTGCTAATGGTGGGGATTAAAATGGCAATTTTCGGTTCAGTGAGACTACCCTAAAATATGTGTATTAATTTGCAATTTATCCTTTTTTTTTATGTGGTCTAACTTGTCACCTCTTTCATGTTCCAACGGTCAAAACCCATTTATGTATGGGTCCCACTGGAACATTGTGATGAACTGGTAATGTTTTACCAATCCAACTGGACATTTTTCATTGCCGCCCATTAAAATAATATTATCATATTTTTATAATTTTATTTATGCTAATTTATACACCAATTATATCATCTTGTAGATATAGATTGTCCTTATCCAGGCTGTAAAATGATCTAAGCTGTTTTTAACCTTATAAGACTTGCGCTGTGTTTGGTTGTTGTGCAAATGTGCAATTTTATTTGTATTAATATAAATGCATGGGAGTGTAAATGAAAAAACTGCAAATTCTCATTTAATTTTGTTTTATTCTGTTTCATGTCATAATTTACTTCATTTGTAATGCAATCAAACAAAATGAGCTAATTTTTGAAACAAAAACAGGTTAGAATTTACACTCAAATCTTTTGCACTTCCACAGTTTTGCATCAGTCTAGATTTATTTGCATTGCAACCAAACACAGCCTTAGGTTTTGTTTGGAAAAACGTTGGCTTTTGAGATTTGGGCTGTATGTTATGTTACAATGCTGAATCAATGTATCATAAACATAAAGGATGATTTGTATGTGTGTATGTGTCTTTTGTATTTTATTTGGCACATGTAAATGCAGTGTTGGCTTCACAGACTTGATCTAATCAAATATCTTTCTAAATGTTTTCTTTCTTATAGACTTTGCTGCTCGCTTCTTGGCTCAAGAAACCAAATCTAGGAATTGTATTTGAGTTGAGTTGGTGGAAGTCACCACCTTAATGGTTAGAACTTAGAAGTAGGGGTGTAAACTGATCGAATTTGAATCAAATTAGGCAATATTCTAGTTTAAATCCAATTAGAAAATTTGATATCCGGATTCTATTTAACATCTGATGAATCAAGGTTTTTAAAACCAACCCGGAGATCAAACCTATCAGGGGTCTAGTTTTCATGTCGAATGGTTGGCTCGTTCTGACAAAAAAATAAAAAATGGTCAAAACCATTGAACAGTTTGGATGGTTCAACCGCCTGGGTCAGCGGTTTGTTGATTAAATCAACATTTTTTATTGTAAATATCCGGTTTTGGGGAAAAATGAAACCGGTCACCTGATAGGTTTCTGGTTTTTTTGGTCTGACCGTTAGGTCCGGTCTAGTTTTGAAAACCATGCGATGAATATTGAAAATTAATATTTAAATCCAAATTTGATTAAATATTCAAATATTCAATTCTATTCGAATTCAGCCAGTTAATTATTTTAGGTAATTAATAAATATTTTATTTATATAAAGTATATAAATATATAAATTATTTGTATATATAAGTTATATAAAACATTAAATATTTTATATATTATATATAAGAATTAAATAATTGGTCAAATTTGAATATTTATCGAATCGAATCAAGTCATATCCAAATTTGATTGATTAGATATTTGAATTATCCAAATTCGATTCAATTATATTGAATCTTGAATTTGAAATCAGATTTTTGAATACCGTTGACACCTCTAATTGAAAGTTGGAGCAGGAAATTCTGTTGTATTCAGGATCTGTTGCTTGCTTGGCTGTATTCATGGGCCCCATATGTCAGTGACAGAAAATTGGTGTTCACTAGTATTTTTTTTTCTTTTTTTGTTGATTGGTTACATAGCAGGTGATAACCCTGATACACAGCCAAGCAGGCAACAAATCCAGGCTCCCCTCTTCTTTGGCAATGGGATCTCCTACAAACAAAACCTTTGCGCAAATTCTCCAACTATGGGCATCCAGCCACACGGAACATTATGGGAAATATTCCTGATATGTGATTGGATTCCATGTGTGCAGAATTTTCGTTTTCATGAGATCTGGGCCCTGAACTTTGGGTATAGTTGGAAATACAGTGCCAATACTTTCTTGTAAGTTCCCTCTTTCTTAATATAATTATTTATTTTGCTTATTAGAAAAAATAGCGGGTTAGTGGTGGCAGTTAGGGGTCTTCACGATTTGGTTAACTGAAACGTGGACCTATTTTTCAAACGAAATTAATAGTACCGGTTTTTGGAAAACTGATAATCAAAACCGAATTGAAGCTGATTGGTTAACCAGTTGATCAGTTGGGTTAACCTCCAATTTGGTTTGTCAATTTTTTGGTTTTTTGAATTTGATAATAGATATTATGAATGAATATATAATAAAAAAGCTAGAAATACATATTAAATGTAATATTATAAACATTAAATAACATATTATATTTTATATTTATATATATGTATACCGGTCAGTTTGATTAATTGCCAATTTTTTATATTGGTTAATTGTAACCGAACCAATACCTTTGTTTTTTCAAAAATGCCAAACCGATCAATTCAATTAATCGGAATTTTTAGTTTGGTCTCATTGATTTGGTTCGATTTTTGGTTTCTCGGTTTTTCATGATCATCCCTAATGGCAGTCAGGCTACATGTATAGGCTTATTGGCATTCAGTGATTCATTTGACTGAAAGCCTCTCTTTCCATGAATTTGAACCCACACCTCCTTAAGGGAGGGATGATGAATAACTGAGCTTATTAGATCATCCCGCGGCCACCAAGTCGTAAGTTGCTGGAGGAACATAATAATCTAAAATCATCACACTTTTGAGCTTCAAAGCACAAAGCCTATAAATGGGGCTTTATTGCTTTTGGGCTTTAAAACCTCCTACACAACCTTCTTTATTAAGTCATAGGTTCATTTATTTATTTATTTAGGCAAAATAAGAACTTGTTAATCAAATAAGGCTATGTTTGATTTGAGAGAAAAGGTAGGGAGAGGAAGGGAAAGGTGAGGAAACTTATACAATGTGGAAAAAGTAGGGAAAGGAAAGGAAAGAAAAGATAAGAAAACCTTTACAAATCTTGTATAGGTTTCATTACCTTTCCCTTCCTTTTCCCTGAAACCAAACATAGCCTAAGGGTATGAGTCGTATTTGATAAAAGTTTTGTCCTATTGCTAATATTCTACAGTGCCTTGTTTTTTACATGCCCGGATAAGAAAAGATTTTTCAACATAGTTGACATTGCATTTATGGTCACTCCGATTCAATATCCCCAAATCATTTTATTGGCGGTATCCAATATCAAAATCAAATTTTAGTTTAATTTATGAATAGTATTCAGCACCCAAGGAAGATTATCAAAATCTGATACAATGGATAAGATTAGTTCAAATTCGAATGTTAATTTGAATCTAGGCATATCCATGGTTCAAAGCATCCAGACTCTAAATATGAAAAAAATTGTTGAGAGTTTCAATCAGTGAAAACTCTTCTTTTTTAGTATTTTGATGCGAGAAATTGTCAACTAATATTTTGAATTTTAGGCAATATGCCGTGTATCTGATATATTATATTGATATTTTAAATCTTGAATATATTGGATTTGACTCAAATGGATACAATTGCAGCTCTTACCTTCTTTTTAGTTGAGAAACCGATGCATATATTGGCAATACAAATTGATAGAAAAGATCATTATTCATTAGAGAGATGCAAAATGTAGATGTTCCTAAAGCTAAAAGGTCTGAAGAGCTTTCCATATTGGTCTAATGAGTGTAACAACGACCCCAGACAAGGAAGGAACAATCAAGGAAGTTTCACCATGCCCATGTTTATATGAAGCACGAGCCTTTGTCAAGCAGTCTCAGAACCAAACGACAACAATCATCAACTCAGTACTCATCTATCATGTGGGTCCAACCCCACATCAATTTTATTTTTATTTTTATTTTTTTTGGTTCGGCGCCTAATATTCCAACCCAGTCTTGGTCAAAACTCACAAACCAACCTATAAAAGGTTTTTAACTCAGCAACCCACCCTCCATTAAAGTTTAACCCAACTCTGTTAATGGGTCTAGTTAGCATGCCCAGATGTCCTCTTCTCTTCACTCTTTGTTGCTTCATCCTGTTGTGGAGGATGATCTGTTGGAAGGTTGTATGATTGCTCCTTCATCTTTACCATTATCGATTGCTCTGCTTTTAGATTATAAAATGGAACAATGAAACAAAGTTACAACTTCAGTGGGAACTTAATTGCAAAAGCTAAAGAGTAATGAAACGATAAGAAATAAAGATTATATCTTGACCTTGATTTGGATTTTGGGGACCCATTTACACCCCTCACTGGTTGTTGCTTGTCCCTGTTTCCTACTTCCATACTCAATTGTTCTGAGTCTGAGCATCATCTACATGATTTATATCATCTTCTGGGATAAAGAAAGATAGATCCCATAGGCGAGCGGTCGGGATCAAAAAAATTTCTCTGCTGAATGGACCGAGCTGACTCAGGAACTCTCTCGACTGGATCGTAATTCATATGGTGTGTGAAAAGCAATGAATCGGATATTTCGTCTACCACCTGCTCGGGATCCGATCAGTAATAGAAAGATTATGTGATAAGCCTATGAAACTCAGAAACCACCTATTTGTTATTAGGAGTAGGTGGAGTTGAAGGGATGAGAAGACATGCAACGATATCAACATGTATATTAGGAGTAGGTGGAGTTGAAGGGATGAGAAGACATGCAACGGATATCAACATGTATCTGTTAAACAGTAGTTGCAGAAACCCTCTTCTCATATGAATGTTATACTATAAATACAATTAAAGTTAATTAAGATGAACTTTTGGAGAATTCAAACCTCCATATCACATCAGAAAAAAGATATACCAATTTGAAAAAAAAAAAGAGAGAAAGAATCTCCATCAGAGCACAAGCAAGAAGTTTGAAGTCCAAGAACAATCTCTTTCTCTCTCTCTCTCTCTCTCTCTCTCACAGACACACTCAAGAGAAACTACTGTCTACTGTACACACTAAACAATTCACCCTAATTAAATGTCTCATATCAACAAAATCAGACGGACAAGGTAGAGGATAATGAGAGGAAAGTCATTGGAGAACCCTTTGATACTTGGTGGAAGAATCAGAGCCTTCACAGACTATTAGATCCCTCTTCCTTTTATTGACAATGCTGCCACAGTCGTCGTCACTGATGCCGTTGATAAAGGACTGCTGATGCAGGAGATAGGATGGTGGAGGTGGTGAAGGGATGGCCACCGGCGGGATATCTGTGGAATCAAGCGGTGGAGGGGGGTATCGCCACTGAGGGAGAGGTCCGGCCAGGAGTAGCGTCTGAAGTAGGGGCCCAGCTTTCATTACTGCCTGCAAAAGCTTCCCTTTCTCTGGCAATGGCTTCTTTGGTACTAGTTGTACTGTCGTTATTGTTGTTGTTGCAGCAGCTGCTGCTGCTGCTGGGGGCAATGGTGGAAGTGGGATTGGGTCCATCACCGGAGATGATACGATGCTTTCTTCGCAATCTGATGAGGATATTCCGGTGTTGGAGTCTCCACCTCTTCTGGTCTCATCTTCAATGCTGGAGACTCCAGACAAAGGAGTTGTTTGTTGGGGTTGTTGGTAAAGCTGCTGTTGCTGTTGTTGTTGCTGCTGCTGGAGAAGCAAGAGCTTTTCCATGAGTAGTGTTTGGCATTTGTCTTGGGCTTCGTCTCTTTCCCTGATGGCTCTGCTTAAGAGGTCTTTGAGATGGGTTGTTTGATCTTCTCTCTTCCTTATCTCCTCTTGAGCTGCTACCCTTGTTGTTTCTAGCTCAAGAGTTGTGCACAACAGAGAATGCCGCAGCTCCTCCTCAGTCTGTATATGCAAATTACAGAGAACATAACCCCATTACCAAGCATAATTTATGCAGAACTGCTAGAAAGGAACAAAACCCATAAAAAGAACCAGGAAGTTCGTGAACCATATACAAAGAAAACCCATTAATCTCTTACCAAAAGAAGACAAAAGACAAGAAAACAGGAGTGAGCCCAGATGAGTTTCCTACCTTTCCTTGGAAGAAAAAACTCCGGCCAAGAAGAGGGCTGCGTTGGCTGTCCATAACCTTGTAATGGGCTGAAACCAAGCACTACAGTCACAGGAAGAATGAGATGGAGGAGGAGGAGGAGGAGAATGTTTAGTGTGCTTCTTCCCCTCTTAATATAACAAGGTGATTTGCTTCCTCTGTTTCTTTTGCTCTTCTTTTGTATGCTTTTAATTTTTATGGGAAGGACAAAACGCATAAGTCCAAAAGCCAAAAAAAGCCAAACACACCATCCACATCTCTCCCTCTCTCTCTCTCTACTATACACCAGCAAGGGAACTGTAACTCTGCAAGGGCGGGAATGTAGACCGGCGATAAAAACGGGAGCTAAATCAAGTTCATATATACGTGAATCTTTCTTTTTAATTTATTTTATATTTTCGAATAAACCAAACAACCATGATTTAAAGCCCTTCTAACATATTATTAAAATAAGCTTGTTTCTAAGTATGATATTGTGTCAACTACATTATAATAAGCTTGAAGAATAATTAACACTAGAATTTAGAAATGGGTTTGCTTTTATTTTCACTAGAAAGATGTTTTTTTTTTTTTTTTTTCTTTCTTGCTTTGAAGTTCGGGAGAATTTTTGTTGTTTCTGGTGTAGTCTTTTTTACTCCAGTGAGTCTTGTGATCCTTGTAAACTGACGGGTTATGGCTTGAGGGTTTGAATTAGATTTCTGGGATCAAAACCATTTTATTCGTAGATCAATGGCCAGTCACATAATCGCCCATGTGATGTGCCTAACATGCTGATCACAGACTACCCACATTCTCTATCTCTATCTCTCTCTTGTCGTCTAGTCGATAGCTGTACCTATTTCAATTAGTCAGAGAAGGGAGCTGGAATTTTTCACCGAAAATTGCTCAGAAGAAAGAAGAATGGCTTCCATTGTATTTGACCAATCAAAGACTCACTATTATTGGATTGGATTGGATTGTTCAGAAGGAAGAAGAAGAATGTCTCCAGAGCATCTGCTTCTTGGTTTTACATATGTAATTATTGCAGATTTAATCATGGAGTATGGTAGCACTCTACCTAGTGATTTCTTTAATAAATCAATCAAATTAACTGCAATTTGTTAATGTGGAGCTACCAGCCTAACGCAAGCAAAAGTATAGGATCAACACTTTTTCAATTGTATCATTGTATGTAGTATTGTATTAAAATACTGTTGATTTGTTAGTAAAAGCTCTAATCACTCGCTAAATTCAATCTAGCCACTTAGGACAAATAATTAAAATGGGTCTCCAAAATTTGGAAGCAGATCCTATAGCTTAGAAAAGATGGTCAAAGAAAATAAAAATATAAAGCATAATGGAAAGACAAAAAAATAGCTGTAAATGGGAAAAAAAATCAAAAATGTCAAATGGAGAGAATCTAATTAGAGTATTAATCGAGGTTTTTAAAATCGGACCGGACAGGAACCGTTTTGGGTCCAGTTCCCAGGTTGAACGGTCCGACTGTCCGGTCTGAACAGACAGCCCGCTCAGATAAAAAATTAAATAATTAAAAACACAAAAAATGGCCAAAAACCATTCTCAGATCGAATGGTTCGACCGCTCAGGTCAATGGTTTGCTGACCAAGTATATATTTGGTTCCGTTTATGTTTATTGGTGGTGTCACATAGGCATCCCATCAGCAAATGCCTCATTAATTGCATTTGCAAACTTTGGTTTCTGTGCGCCTCTCCCATTTCAGGAAACTTCATTTTAGAGCTTCCTAAAACTGGTAGGCATTTATTGGCATTTTGCTGGTGTGGTGCCTAATGGCGCCTATGTATCATAAACGCTCTCATTAAATGTGTTTCTCGATTTTGCAGTCACACAAGTAATAAACATTTACTGAATAAACGTAAGCGGAACCAAACACCCTACAAACCAACAATTTTTTTTACCAAAAAGTGGTTTGGGGTTAAATAGAACCGGTCATGTGACCAGTTCCCAATTTTGCTTGGGGGCCCTTAAAAATAAATAAATAAATAACTCTAGAAGAACTCTGAAAGCTTTCCTTTAAAAATATGTTTTTTACCAAATAATTATTATAATAACAATAATGAAAATGATTATGATAATACAATGTTTTAGTAAAATAATTAAAACTATTTTTAAATTATTAAAAATGCTAAAATATTCAAAAAATAAAAAAAATCTTTTAATTAATAAAAATGATTTAAAATATTGCAATATGGAAATTTGTTTATTTTCTAAAGGCATTTTTTGTATGTATAAAGCATGGACATCTTTATAAATGTGCAAAAAAATAATTAAATCAATTATTAGAGATAAATAAAAACAAAAATTAAACATGTCATTAGGTTTTTGGAGATTGGAGGACCCTCTTGCTAAATATAAACCAGTCCAAAATTGGATGTTGAAACATGATTATCAAAGATGGACAAACATAAAAAATTCACTGCTTCAATGGAGTTTAATTTTACTCCTAAGCCACATCGTCTATAAAGGTTGTTTGAAAATGCATGGTATGGCTTTTTCATCCACCATGAAATGAAAATGAGCATTCATTCCTTTTTTAAGAAAAGAAGAAGAAGAAGAAGAAGAAGAAATGGAAGCTGTTTCCACTTCAATGGGCTAGCTTTTAAGGGTTATACAAAGGTTTAGAGGTATCTCAAGAACATGTATTTTAGAGGATGAATGATACTTCCTAAATAGATATACCTTGACACACTGTTGCAAGGTTTTTCTAATATTTTTGAAACCTCATCCTTGTTTTTTTTTTTTTTTAATTTTCTCACCAATCTCTCTTTGTGAAATGAATTCTAACACCCTAGTTGTGTAAGTAGTGGTGCCTACTGCCTACAAGAGAAAGTAGCATAGCATAGAGGGGTTTATAGACTTAGGAATCGTTTTATAACAACTAAAGTGGTTGCAGTGAATGACTTGTATCTTTGTCTTATAGTGAGTAAAAATAATCATATAATAAAATACCGAAGGGTATGATAGTCATTCGGCCATTGAGTAAAAGACAAAGAAATAAGTCATTCAGTTCAGTTCAGCCAGTTCAGTCATATTATGAAATGGCAAACGGGCCCTTTGAGATGGTTCCAAAAAAGAAGAGATTGTGACATGTGTCCTTATGGGGGGGGTTCAGATGTGAACATTTGTCCCATTTCCATCTCCTATAACCTGGAAAGAGGTTAGAGATGATGTTGGTGGTTGCAGCAAAGGCTACACTATAGATCTCCATGGTTTCTATCTTCTTTTTCTTTATAAAAAGGGAAAGAAAAAGAAAAAGAACTTTTGTAAATTTTTCTTCTTCAGATTCCAATCCCATGGCCCATCCGATAGAAAATAATTGAATGTGCTTGCTATACACTGCCTTTGAGGTCTAGCTTTTGGTAAATGGCATGAGGCGTATTCTAGAAACAGAATTTCTTAAGGAAGAGGTATGTCCCCCCTATAATCCCTATTCAATTGGTCAATGATGTTGACCAGAAATTGTGGAATCTCTTATCGGTTCTGAGTTGGGGCGTTTGGGCACTTGTTTATTGTTGATTGGCCCAAAAATAAGACAGATAAGACTAAATTTTGAATCAACCAGGAATAAATACTAGGAGCTGGCATAAGGTAAGTAAGGTTGTGTTTCTCATGCTTTTAGAGAATTAATTCTGATGAGTTTTTGTAATTCTAAAAATTATTTTTGAATTTGGATGTTGAAAATTGATTATAATTTACATTGAAGGGGATTTAGGATAGGGAGAGAGTAGGGTACATGTGAGGTCCACCGGTCTAACCATGAGCATGTTACACAGGTTTGATTCTACACCTCTATATTGTTGATAAGGCTCAGTTTGGGTGGAGTATAAATACAAATATGTAGAGTAAAAAGCCTTTATTTTGTACATATTTATACTGTACATATTTGTATTTATACTCTTTCCAAACTAAGCCTAAAGATGCAATTTCAGTGGGCTTAAGTTGAAATTTTGTCAAAAATTGAATGGATTGGAGAGTGATTAAAGGATTGGGAGAGAGTAGGGTGCATGTGAGCTCCACTGACCTAACCATGTGGAGTATGTAGTTACACAGGTTTGATCCCCCACCTCCATATTTAGAGGGACGTTAATAAAGATGCAATGGATTCAGATTGGGATTTTGTCAAAATTTGAATAAGCCCGAACCGGAAATCTGGGCTCAATGCACTCCAAAATCTTCAAATTGGATACCTAACTTGCACCCCTAATGTTGAGTATCTCAGCTATTGGCCCAAAACTAAATCTAAAGGTTTTCAACAGAAAAAAAAAAAAAAAATCATATTATTAACCAAACATAACTTAAATATTCTTGTATGATCCATTGATTCACTCTTCTTCTTTGTTGAAAATTGGAATTGTTTTAAGTGCACCTACATTAAAAAAAAAGCTATCAATGCATACATACATACATACATGTACTTATGGTGGATTCAGCATTGCAGAGATTAGAACATTTTGATGTTACTGTATTTAAAATTGGATTACATGAAAATTAAATGCCTCACTCGTAAGGCTTAGTTTGGAATGAGTACAAATATTTTGTATGTAATTGTAATCTTTCCAAAATCAGATGGTTAAACCATCATTTGATTAAACCGATGGTGGTCTGTGGCATTAACCATGCATTGCCATAATATGGATTTTGGAACACCCATTCTGAAGCCCAAGACCTGAGAAGTCGGCAATTATGAATTATGATATTCTCTTAATATGCCACGTGTAATTCCAACGAATCATTAGCTATATTATTAAACTTGCCACGTGTTGAATTCTCAGATAAAGTCACTTTTTTAGGCCGTGGTAAAGTGCAGGAGAGACACACTGACAGAGTACGAGATTATTTTATTCATTAGATCCAGCGCTCCCGCAAATCGCCGTTTAATTCGCTTCTCAATTTTCCTAATCAGGTAATAACCAACCCACTTTGCCACGTGGCAAACAGCAATGGGTAAAGCTAGCTTCCACGTATATAATTAAAACCCATACAAAATCTGGGCCCCAGCCTGCTTCACATGCATATGTACTAATGGAAAATCCTAAGACAAATAAATCCAGAGTTGAAAACAAACAAAAGAGAGGTAGATGCCTCTTTTAACAAGTCCCATCGCCATCAGACCCCCAGAAACACCTTTCGTTTTCTCTCTACCTGCCTCACTTTTTCTCTGCTTCTTGCACTGCCCGAGAGGCCTAGACAACGGCAAAACCCACCAATAAAGTCCAGTCTCTGGGTGGGCCGTCCAGTTTGTGGCCCACTATTCATCAAGCACTCACGTCCAGTTTACTTGCACATTACATTAGTCTTCATTACTTAATTTCTTTTTCAACAATAATGTAGGCGCCTAAGATCTCTGGGTGTTGGTTAGTTCGTCGCGATCACTTTGAAAAACAATAAAAATGAATTAAATAAAAGAAAGTTTGTTATCCACTTAGATTAAATATAAGGCTTATTTTGATAGGTTTTAAGGGCTTATTTGGTTCTTAGTTGGAATCAGAATTAGAATTGAAATTGGCTGAAATGGAATTTCATTCCTAAAGAACATAGAGGTAATGGTCATTTTCTCAAATGRAAAAATGTTATTCCACTGAAAATGGGAATAGGATTCTGATTCTAATTTTAAACCTCTATTCCCGTTAACCAAACGGGCTGAAATGGAATTTCATTCCTAAACAACATAGAGGTAATGGTCATTTTCTCAAATGAAAAAATGTTATTCCACTGAAAATGGGAATAGGATTCTGATTCTAATTTTAAACCTCTATTCCCGTTAACCAAACGGGCCCTAAATTTATTTAAAATATAGAATGGAAAAGCAGGAGACAGCAAAAATCATTGCAAGATCCCTTTTCCCCACACCATCTCTACTATAGCCTCGTGCTATAATTAATTAATGAATATTTTTTATATATATTTTACCAAAAAGCTTATTATCATATGCCATTGAGATCAACTCCATCAGCACCGTATCTAGTGGAGTGGACCCCATCGGCCCCATTAACTCGGGAGCAGTGTGATCTAGCTTTTGTTTGTTGCTTTAAAGCTATGGACAATGATAGCCACACGGGTCGTATGTCTACCATTGTTTTTTTGTTTGTTTGGAAGGGTTTATTAAAAAAAAATAGGCCCAATGCATCATTTCAATTCTCAAGTGAGCTGGTGTATATACATGCTGATTGACATAGCTTAAGCTTTAAGCTTCCATTGGGAGAGCTTAAGTGCTATCCTAATATTCACTTATATGAGTTTTTGGTGAAAAGTGTTTATTTCAAACAGGAATAATCACTTATTCAACTTTTTTGCCAAACACATAATGTTTAGAAAGTCTGGTTGATAGGGAAAGAAACAAAGGGATTAGTAACGTTGGAGGGTGGAGGGTGGAGGCCGGAGGCCGGAGGCCGGAGGAATTGCTTTTTTCGGTCCGTGCGGTAGGGCAAGTGTGTGGTGTCACGCGGTATTGGGAAGTTGGGACTTTAGAGTAAGAAATTATCACCTTTTTTTGTCGGCATGTGAGGGTGATGAGTGGGGACGTACTACTACTCCTACTACAACAAAACCCTCATAGCCAGATGAGCTCACAACAAAAATTTGTTCCAACACATTAACATCCTAACCTCACGGTGAGATGTATGGACACAGATGGTGTTGGTACAATTTTTGTTGTGAGCAGATCCTACTCCCACTTGTAAACCTCCTATGAGCCCATAGATTCTAGTTGGGCTCTGTTTTGGGAATCGCATTTGGTCTTTGGGCACAGCAGAAGAGGGCAGAGGTTTGTTTTTTGGTTGGAAGCTCACGGGCTGTATGATATCTACCTCGACTTCATCTACCCCTCTTGCCGTCCTTTGTTGAACAAATCCAGTATATAAATGCAGAGAATGAGAGAAGAGCTTCAGTTTCATTCGATGGAGGCCCATATCATTGCATGTGCTTAAAATGAAAAATGTTTGGGCCTGGCCCACGCTGCAGTCGGCAGAACAGATGGATGAAAACATGATTCAGGTGTGTGTGTTTTTGTGGGGCCTAAATGGGACGTCAGAAGTCAAAACCCAAAACTAATTTGACCATAGAAATCTCTTGCTTCTGATCCATGCATTCCAAACATCCAATTTGATGGCTTCTTAAGGTTGTGTTTGGGAGAATCTTGCATAATAAGTCACATTTGATTTGATGACTGCTCTCTTTTATTTATATATACCAGGGATTAATTCTGTCTCTGTGCAAGTATTGTAAATGCATATCATATGGCTGTGATTCCATAAGGTTGTGTTTGGGTTTCAAAAAAACGCGGAATCAAGTCTTCTTTGACTGACAGAATTGTTCTACGACCAGGGTAACAAGGGGTGGCCCAAATCCCAAAACCCCACAAACCCAACTCTAATAATGAGTTAGGATTCCATCAGGAGAAACCAACCAGTTGGAAATTTTGCCAGCAAAAGCTACATGGCACCCTCAAATGAAAGCGATTTAGACTTCCCACCAAATCAGTAGAAATCCCCCCTTCTATCCAGTGCCGACATAGTGGAAATCAGGAATCCTTTTCCACTCGGCTTTTCCGACTTTCTGTTTTTCTAAGAAACATATACTTCATTGGGAATGGTAGTTTCCATTAGCTTCTACCTATATATACAAGAGTTTACATCGGCGTCCCACAGGGTGTGCCCAACAGCACATCTCAATGCACGCTGAGATGTGCATGTGGGACATCTGTGGGGCGCTGATGTAATCTCGAATGAGTGAGTTTTCCCATTCTGAATTCTGGTAGGGAATTGAGATCTATTCCTCAAAGAGCACTCCCCACACTGATCTCACAGCCACATCTCGCCATGTAATGATAACATCTCCCATGAATAATAATATACAAATACAGAAGATATTCCTGATGTGCGGCTAATACATGTTGTGAAGTCGGTGTGAGGAGCAGATCCGGACTCTCTGGTGTGTATTGGGAAGTGTTGTAAGGGTGTCATGTAAGTCTAAAAATTAGGTTTTTTAGTCTCAAAATGAAAGAATGTCTCCACGAGGTGCAATGGATTGCAAGTTAACACCATCAAAAGAGTCAGACAGCTCTTTCACAACCCTGTCTACTACTCTACTTAAGAAACAATGTTGTTAGAAGTTAGAACCAGATTGGATGTAAAACTGGAAAGCTTAGCCAATCATGGTTCACTGGTTCAACCATCCTGTCCAGTCCGAGTCTGTTAACACTTCTTAGAAAAAAATAAAGTATATAGAAAATATTGGCTCTTACCCAATTGAAGGACACTGGACATGCATCCAATCAAATGTATTTTTTACTTTAATTTTAATATTTAGGGGTTTAGGGATTTAGAATTTAGGTTTAAAGTTTAGGAATAGGATTTAAGATTTAGGATTTAGATATAAAAGTCAAGAGGTTGTCGGACCATTTTGTCCAACCATGGTAGGAGCAAAGTAAAGCCTGTCATCATAAATCAAACTGAAAAACTCAACATGTAGATGTGGATGAAGATTTGCCCTATTAAAAAAGAAAGTAATATTTTCATACCTAAACCCTAAACTCTAACTCCTAAACCCTAAATCTTGCACCATGCATCGATCTGATTTTGAAGATACAATATCTCCTGTCTCCAACACTTCCAAAGAGGAAAGCCAATCAAATCAGTGTTTTACACGGTAAAGCTTGGGCTTTAATTTTGAACCCACACTGTTATGAATAGTGTAGACTATGTTTGGTTTGACAGGAAATAGGAGACAAACAGAGCAGGGTGCACATGAGGTCAACTGACCTTACCACTGAGAAACCTGCAATTATGCAGATTTGATCCCATATCTCCATATGTAGAGGGATGTCAAAGTGACCATCACAGATACTGAATTCATCTGCAGGGTGAGCTTTCCCTCAACATTCTGTTTTTTCTTATTTTCTATCAAACCAAACACAGCCATAGGGTAGAGACCGAGCCAGTAGTTGTAAGTTGTAACCTTTATTAAGATCCAATTTATGTAAAATTTTGCGTGCATTTGAGATATTGGATTTGTCCCTCTGGTGGCACACATGGGCCAGTCTGGTCCATTTCAGAAATGGACTTGAAATTAGGCTTAGACCCCAAATTTAAAGGCTCAGCATCTGGGCCACGGCCCACGATTGATGCAAGCTTAGATTGTAGTCATAGTCCTGATTAATGATCATGAGCATTTTCTTGAAGGCTATGAAAATTGGCAGTCCTTTGCATAAAAATTTTCTGATTGATACTGTGTTGGCATTGTATCAGGCAGGCTAGAATCATGGTGATCTAAAACAATAATATGAAGATTAAGGAATGCATTTGATCGAGAAGAACACACTCTGGAAGTTCTAAAATTTTGTTGGACTTTCGAAAAATGAAAATTTATCACAGCAAGGATAATAATGGATTAATCATAGTCAAAAACCAAGACTATGAAAACCATAACAGAACCGAACCTGGAGTTAAACTGTCCAAAATTTGGACCTGTTGTCATCAAGATGAAGTCATTGTTAGCTAGCAACAAAAATTGGACCATAAAATCGGATTTTATCCGTTTTTCATTTACTTAAATTCCATTTTAGATGAAGGCATTTTTTTAAGTTGAATTCAAATTCTATCAAAAACTGTATTCATGTTACTCGAATTCTATATAAATTCTAATATGATATATGGTGTGTTCTAATATGATATATGGTGTGCCTAAGCTTGATCATTCTGTGGGATTTTTACCAAAAAAAGAAAAGAACATTCTGTAGACTTAACTCTGTAATGGTTCTGATAAAATTTTAGAGAACAGCCATGAAAGTTCATTTTCATATCAGTTCACTGGAATCTTGCTAAAAACAGAATCTATCTCCTTAGAAAACAATATGACTTCACAGAAAGTACAAAATTCATTCAGTTGATTATTTTCTTACCTTTACATCAAATCATTAGGTCATATGCGCGTGCTGAGGAGAAACATTGAAAAAGAAAAGCAAAACCCATGGGGACAAAATAAAAGAACAACTGCATTGAGAGGTTTTTACCTGTTTGCAAAACTGTAGAAGGAAAAAAAAAAAAATCAATTATATATTTTCATCTCTCTGGCATATCATGCCTATCACTCGCAGATGATAGAGAAGAATACACCAAATGTGAATTAGCTAAATTTCACAGTTCCACAAGAAAAAAGGATTGTTACTTCTATAAAATCAATTAGATCACAGGACATAGTGATACAGTAACATGTAGGAAACACAAATGGTTCCACCCCTCTTGTACTACATGGAAAGTCAGTTTCGAATTACTCAGATCTCCGCATTTTTACATTAAGAGGCCTTTCCTTGTAAGATTGAACCTTCTCAGCTGCCCTACGCAAGGGTCTTCCAACTGATGATCTTCGTGACTGTTGAGTTTCAAACCTAGAAAAACTCTTTGCTTCTGCCTCTTCTTTTGTGGTTGACGAGTCCAATAAAGTATGAATATTTTCGTCCATTTGTTCATCAAGCAATTGATGGATTTGAAATTTGGCATCTTCTATCTCAAACAAATCTTCAGTAGGTTCAGGTTGTATAAACCTAGCAGATTGCCTTCTCAAACAAAGTCTGCTAAAGGAACAAAGTTTGTTACTAAGAACAATACTTGATGCAACTATGCATGTAATACTATAATACATGCTGATTGCAGACACAAACCTTTTATTGTCAGCCTTATCTTTTGTAGCTACTTGTGCCCCAGCAGGATCTGCAACTGCAGGACATCATTCAGAGTTTTGGATTATGCAAGGGCCCAATAAAAATCAATATACTTAAGCTAGTAACAGAGTCAAGTGCTAGTGATTACAATGGTTCCTTGAATGGCGCCTCCTACTAGGGTTGCAAGCCTTCTTATCATCATTAGTTTTCAAGGTCTCTTCTGCTGCTTCCTCACACTTAACCTTAACCTTGTTAATGAAGCACCATAAAATAAAGTAATGGGAATAAGAAGATTGCTGAGAAGCAAGATCAAGTGTAAAAGCATAGAAAATACACCACTCATAATATATGCTGAAATACCTCGGTGCTACTGTTTTGGCATGTTGCTTTTTTCTCTTTCTCCTGTGTAAAACAAGATGGGTTTAGTAAAAATAACGAGTTTATGCCCATAGCATTCGTCTCATGCAAATGAGAGAAAGGAGATAGATATCAGGCAAACTAACCTCCAGTAATAAATCCTTTGCTTTCAGCAGGGCTACCTTACACCCAAGTTCATGCTGCATTGCTTTTAGCTGCAAATGAATAATACCATACCAAATAATAGATTTATGAAACTGATACAACATGAAGATTTGAATGGAACTTCCAAAACAGTTGAACTTTAATTTTGCACATGGCTATCTTGGGAAATCAAATCATACCCTGTCTTTACCCAAGTTCAGTTCCTGCGAAATTAGAGAAATAAAACTAAGAACTTGTGTAAAAAATAGAACCAAATAGTTTTGATTAAGGAGTATGTATCTAGAAAATAAAAGGCATAATTGGTTATTAAGCATGATTAACGCCAACAGACCGTTAACATCTGGCTGTTTGATTGTGCAAGATGCCAATTCTGCTTTTGTAATTTCTGCAAATTCATCCGCAGTTTCTGCAACTCTTGCCCACTCAGTTCAATGATTTTGCTATAGATAAACATTAAGAAAAGTCCAGAAAAAGAAACAAAAGTTGAACATAGTTACAAGGAAGAAATTACAGATCAAAGATACCATTTTGCTTCCAATTAAGACGAAAGCAACGCCAAATAATCATGAAAAAGGATACTTTCTGTCTGCTAGAAGCCGCGTCAGCATAGCATTTTCCTGAGATGACAGGTCCAAAGGAGAAAATATAGTAAGCTAAAGCAACTACACCGAGGGGAAGGGGAGAAAAGAATGAAAGCCTCAAAGAAACCACTAAAAGAAATACCTTGCGCAGATGTTCGATGTAGTCGTTCGGCAAAAATGAAACGGGTAATGGCTTGTCATCTTGAACTAGAATACTTGGTCGATGTTGTGAGTTGGTTATATCTGAGAATCTCTTCCTTACAACGGTTCCCAAAGAAGTTTTCTTGACCATTTTCTCTCCTTTCACATTACCTAACTCTGAAACAATTAGAAAAGGAAAGTTACTCCTAACAAACCCAAACCCTAACCCTAATTGGTAAGCGATAAATGAGATTGCAAACAGAAACCTAGAATGATGAGAGAGGAATAAATAATACCTAGAGTATAATAATCAGTTATGTAACCCTAGAACCCATACATGGGTAAGCATGAATAGGACTGCAAATTACATAAAATGAGAAGAATATCAAAAAGAAATTACAGGAAAGAGAAGGGGTCGGGTCGTTAAGCTTTATTTGTGATCTATGAAAATGAGTGGAGGAGCAGAAAGAAATGTTTGTCTTCAAATATTCTCGGTAGATTTGGGGAGAAGATGGAGCTTTAAAAAGCTATGGAATCGTATTTCAAATCAAGAAGGAAGTATAATTTGCAATAATTAGAACGAGAGAAGTACCTGCAACTGCAAGTCCACAGTTTTCAGAATCAAGAACGAAAAAGCCCTCCATGGAGGGATCAAGAAATCCCCAACCTTCTGTGTGTGTGTGGGTATGGCAGCTTCGATTTCACTTCACCTGCTGTAAGACCGTGACTGTGAGACGTCGAAAAGAAGACGGTTTGAACTGGGGGGAGGGAAAAGAGTCATCAGAGGGAGAAGGCCAATAGAAGAATGGGGGAGGTTCGGTAACCCAACGGCTCTCCGAAGCAAAATCCGGACCTATTTTAAAATGTAAGGACAAGCGAACCAAACCAAGAAGTATCTGATCGACCGTCCAATGAGTTGACCTCCCATTTTAACGGTTGAGATCTTACGGGTTTTTACCTTACGACAAAAGCAAAGTCAAAAGACGATGGTGGGATGATAATCCAAACCGTTGAATTAATCCATTTGCCAATCCCAACAATCTACTGTTTCACTATGCTAATGTTTATCGAAAGCGATTAAATAGTCTAATCTCTAATTATGAGGCCAAAAAAAAGTTTACAAGAAAATGAAAATTCGATGTGACATAACATTGGTCCCGTAGCTCAGTTGGTTAGAGCGTTGGTCTTATGAGCCGAAGGTCGCGAGTTCGAGCCTCGCTGGGACCATTGCCTTAATCCATGAACTCACCTAACCGAAGTGTTTTGTTATCAAAAATCTAGTTATAGAATTTATATCAGAAAAAGGCAAATTCAATGTGATTCACATTTACACCATAAACAGAACCGGTTGTCTAAATGGTTTCTAAGCCGATCATCTGGATCAAGGTAGAACTATGGATTTTGAACATCTGATCTGGAGACATTCATGATTCATCTAGAGACTGCGAGCTTGGCTTTTGAATGTTGATTTACAAACGGAGCTGCGTTAGAGTTGAGATTGGAGGAATTAATAGGAACTATAAAGAGCTCCATTTGGTGTTTGATGAGTTTGCAGATAAAAATGTTTATAAATTGATCACCCGTTTTACCACAGTGATATTTTAGTTCTTAACACGATTGAGTTGTAACTGCGTTGAAGTTGTACTCTACCTTGCGAGTTCAGATCGGCGACCTTGCAGGCAGATGAATGCAGCGGGTACAGGGATTAGGTTTAGACTTTAGAGTTTCAATTTGGTGTATTGGATTTTATAAATCGAATCAAATTATATATAATTATATAAATATATGATGTATAAATATTATATATTTAAATAAAATGTATAAAATTATAAATATATATATTTTATAATAAAATATTTTAAGTTGATTTTTAGGGATACTATAATTAGGTTAAATCCAAGGTTCAAAATATCGATACACTCGATATGCCCCTACCGGGGTATCAGGTGAATAGATACTTTTTTTTAATTTTTTTCGAAACCGGTTCAGGGGAGCCGGTTTAGGGCTCCACCCCCTGAACCGGTTAGACCCCCGATACACCCACTATAGGGGCATATCGGAGGGGTCCCGGAACGATACGTATCGACCGATACAGGCCAATACGTATCGATACATTTAACCTTGGTTAAACCCAATAGAATTATAGAATAGTCCAAAGCCCTCAAACCATATTAGAAAACTGCACCAAACTGTAATGAAACAGTTTAGTCTAATTTGGTTTCTTTGCAAAAATGGTTTGATTTAGCTTGGAAATTTCTAAAATCATAATTTACTGATTTAATCTGGCATCTTCTCCAAACCGGACCACGAACACCCCTACAGATAGTTGCATTGATGAGCAGAATTCAGGCATAATTTCAGTTTAGTTCAAAGTCGAGCATCCTTTGTTAACCTTCTTAAGGCTTCGTTTGGATCCGGTGTAAAACGTCATCAATGTAAAAATACATTGATGGCATTTTACACTGAACCATATAATAGGTGACCATTACATTTTAAAAACCATGATAAAAAAAAAGTATAAAGTTTTACATCAATAATCGATGTAAAACTTTATGCTTGATAAGGATGAGGTTTTACATCAATTCACGATGTAAAACTCCACTCCATCCAAACGCCAACAAATCTAAACCGGAGCAAAGTTTTATATTGATCTTCATTTACACTCCTTCCAAACACCAACAAAATCGAAATGGTGTAAAATTTTACATCGATCTTGATTTACACTGATTTTAAACACAGCCTAAATACAGGGAAGGCCACTTAAGTTTGGCAAAGGACCAACTTAACAAATGTGAAACAGAGTAAACAGGGGCTGCAAGTCAGAGAACCATGAGTGACATGTATTAAGTAAAACAATGCTAACAGATAGATGTCATTACAGTAGACTGGATGATGAAAAAAACAAGGCCTGTATTTCTTTACAATCTGAAGCAGAACAGACGCTTTTCAGAAGGTGAAAACTTTCCCAAAAAAAAAAAGTTATCAAAATGGAAAAGACATTATAATCAAAAGGCAAAATACATAAAAGCTTTGTACATGTCCGGAAAATATGTAGAAATTACAGAGAGGGACAATTTCATTTTGTGGCACTAGGGGTATAGAGTCCAACATTCTTTCGGAGCAGAAGGCCCATTTCATTTTTAAGCTTCCATACCCAGCAAGGTTCACAGTTCAATTTCTCAATGACTTCTGTTTGAGAACTTCCATCTCTGTTGCATAACTTCCTAGATCAAACTGCACCCAAAGCCGTCCATAGACAATTATGGTCTGGACTGATTTCATTCACTTGAGCTGCACTTTCCTGCACCTGCGGTGCTGTTAAATGGACATGGAATTATAAGATGTTCTGCATATTCCAAAAATACAGACCAAGAAAACATTTATTTTAAAACTGGATAGCATACAATTGAAACCAAGTTCTACAATATGTAGGGATGACAACGCTTCAAACTCACTATCTCCAGACTATCCAGTTGAACTACTTTTGAGCAATAATTCATGATTTTTACACATCATTCTAAAAAAAAGGTATGACCATATTAAATGGCTAGACCTACTGGATTAGGACAGTACCATGTATACCCAGAAACCTACTCACATCATAGTAATCCAAGGCCTTTTCCTCATCTCTACAAGGCAAAAAGAAAAACATGAACGAATGGATGGCATACATTCTTCATAAAATGCAGTTGACTATCAATTCTACTACAACTCTACAGGCTGAAAGGGAGGAAACTAATAGTGTAAATATACTGTTTATGTTTTAGTCTTTCATTTTATGGACAAGTAAGAGAAGAAAATATTAAACAGAAGGAGAGGGAACAAATAAGAGCCCAATCAGGAGCTTTTTTAGATAGGTACCCAATCAGAAATTACGTTGAGCAAAAAAACACTTAAAACAAATTGCTTATTTTTCCCCATTTCATTAGTTTATGGAAAAGCACACATGAAGCAATATTCTAAATAAATCATCATCCATTAAAGATACAAGGGTTACATACTTCAATCATAATCCCTTCTATGCATGGTGCTTTGTAGGAGATAAGAAGCCCTGTTACGGACCTGGCAGGATATAAGGTAAGATTTGTTAGAATGAAATTCAAAATGGTATATCACAACAGAACACAGTTGCACACCTTTGATGCATAAGACCTCAAATCTGTGCTGGTAATTTGGCAAGAACAATTCCTAAGATAAACCCCCCACATTTCAAGAATCACTGGCTTGTCTTCTACTAGCTTATCAGAGAACAGCCAATTTTCTGTGAGAACCAAGTAGACATACATCTTGAAAAGATCGCAACTTTTGTCCTTTACATTGATTGAAAGGAGCAATTTAAGAATCTCTTCCATATCTTTAACCTGTACAAAAAATGGAAATATGTGTTAAAAAAAGGCTTACCATAACAGATGGAAACAAAAATTGAGGAGAAACATGGCAGATTTCTGCCATGAAATGGCCAGTATTTTCTTTGCTGAAAGAAATGCCTCATCATCAAAATTTGTTAAGCAAGTAATACAAAGTCATCATCGTGGTTTTAAATGACATTGAAATTTCTTGAAATTTTAGACAAAGCCACCAACATGATTTATGAAATATATCAGGCCGGTTTGTTTCAGTCAAAAGTTTGGCCATTTATTTCAACAAAAATTTTTGAGTGTAATCAAAATCATATAAATAAATAAAAAACACTATAAAATATTTACACATAATAACAAAATGATCAAAATTTTATCAATTTCTTTCCTGAAATACCTAAATTAAAAAAAAAAAAAAAAATCATCACAGACGAATGGTCCAAAATTTTCAAAACCTAAAACCTTGGTCTTCATGAAGAATGCTCAAAATGCATAGAGGCAATGATATGCACCTTTGACAACACAATAGATGGTTTTATTGTGACAGAATGCTGGAATTGCATCTCTCCTTGTGTAGCTTCTAATGAAGGACAAATGTTTAAGAATAAGGTAGTAATTATTAGTTTTTCTTTTGGTAGTGAATAAAAAAGAACAAACAGCCATAAACCATAAAGTCCTGTGAATTCTAATATACCTAGAACAAACAACCATAACCTGATAAATACTGTCATTTCAAGGTTGTGCCCAGGTATTGCAATGAACCTCAACCATATAATAGGCATGGGAAAGAAGCAACAAAAATATACATTAATTTTAGGAAAGTACAAGGATGAGTTTACATCAATAGTAGATACTCAATTAGCAACTCAAGGTCCATTAGGAATTGGAGGTGTTTTTAGAGATGCAGCAGGAGTAACCAAAACTTTATATTCAGGACCTATTGAAGTTCATGGTTCTATTAAAGCAGAATTAATGGTAATGTCACTAGGCTTGCAATTAGCTAAGAAGCTGGGATTCCAACACTTGGAGGTGGAGGGGGACCCCAAGGTGGTCATCCCTTTGCTAAACAGCAATATTCCAGGAGATTGGGCTTATAGGCATGTTCCAAGGGAAATCCAGTCTTTAGCCAAGGAAGTGGGAACTAGTTTTAGTTGGATTAGGACTTGGGAGAACAGCAAATGGGATGACAGATTGTTTGGCAAAACAAGGGATTCATGGGGAGCAGTTCTTTTGGGCTAATCTGTAATTGAGTTATCTTGGAATTCTTGATGGGTGACTGGACTTTTCCAGTCTTTGTACTCAATCTCTTATCTCTAATTAATTAATGAAATCCATGTTGCTTATCAAAATTAAAAAAAAAAAAAAAGCAACTCAAGGTGCCCGGATTATTGAGATATCAATCATTAAAAAGACCCTTGTAAAGGCATCTTTAACCTTTTTGCCACTCCTGTCAGTTAGAACTCCGAACTGCACAGGTACCTGAGTACCTTAACTCGATTGGCATAGTTAATGCCATATATGGAGACATTAAAGAATATTCAAACATGCTAAGTCAAGAATTTTGCAGCAAAGAAAATAGTCTACCTTTGGATCAAAGCAATTTATAAGGATTTGAAAGGATATTTCACTTCTGAGATGCTTGCTACGGGTGTCAACTCCTGAAATACACTCTACAATTCTCAAGCAGTTCAAGTCTTTTGGCATTCTGCATTTATCAACACAAGCAAGGTAAGTAAACCTCCAAAACACCAGTACATAATAATAATCATGACTGCTACTCCACAATAATGAGCCCCAAACATACGCTAGCGAAGGAAATTAAGTTATGCAGGCTACTGCACTTGGCAAACATTTGTCAATTCACAAGATTACAGACTTGTTCATTTATCAGCATACATAACAAGCATTTTCTTTTTTATAAGTTGTGATAGGTATCGTATCATATGTAATCACATTATCACAGAAAGGGGGTGAATCCTCAGAATAACAACTTCATTCAGTAAATGGTTAATGAGACAAAACCAAGAACAAACATATATACAGATGCAACCAAAAAAGAGTTAAGGAGTATTTCCTTCAATTGATGCCTAAAATGATCAAATGCCAATCCTTCAAAATTGAAGACCAGCAAGTCAATCCTTCCAACAATCACATCAGAAGAGGAGCCAACTCTGTCAAATATGTGATTACTTCTTTCTATCCACACCTACATAAAGCAAAGAAGGAGATGGAAATGGATGGTACAATGCCCACGTCACTGGCAAGAGGTATCCTTTGGTGTGACCCAATTCCTTACAAGTACAGCAAGAAAGAAGACCAAAAAGAACTATCTCAGAAAACTTAAGGGTACATTTGGTTTGTGAGAATAGGCACCTAGAATCAGAATCAGAATGAACCATTCCAATTCCAACCGTTTGGTTGATCGGAATGGGATTCCCCCACATGGGGGAATGGCCATTCCTGCCCCCCCTCCCCAGGAATGCAATTCCCATTCCCCTCTTTTTTTTTGACAAAAAAGCCCCCATTTCGATCCAAAGCCCTATTCAACCAAAGGCCTTAGCATTTCATAGGCCTTCATACAACTTAGCAGCCGCCGACCATCTCCGGTGAGGTAAGACCGGTTTCTGGCCTGCTGTCCTTCCCTTGTATCCCCCCTCCTCTTCCTTTTCTTCCTCTTCTTTCTCCCCTCTTCTCTCTTCTTCCACCCCCTCTTCTTTCTCTCCCTCTTCTTCTTCCCCTTTGTTGTTGCCACCACTGCTAATACCACTGGTGGCTTCTTCCTCCCATCTCCTTTCTTCTTCTGGCATAATTGAAAATGTTGGTTTATTCCGATTCTGGCATCTAGTTGGACCAAACAGTAACAATCAGAATCTGAATCCAATTCCTGACTGAACCGAACAAGCATCAGGAGGTGATTCCGATTATGATTCCTGGGGATTCCAACTCCAATCCTGGATGTGGACCAAACAGACCCTAAGTATTTCCTCCAGCCCCATTAATAGTCTGGTAGTTGCATTCCATTGTAGTTAATGTATTTTAAACATACAGAAAGACTGTATCTGACAACAGATCAGACATAACCAGGCCATAACACAAAGAACTTTGATTTTAGCAGATCAAGTTCAAAAGTTATTTCTGCTGATAAAAAAAAAAAAGTTCAAAAGTTATTTCCAATGACTAGAAATATCTAGCATTATTTTATATTATGGATAAATTTCTAAGGATCAGAAAGATCTTATTGCCTATGAGACCAACTTTCTCTGTGTGTTTCTAATCTGCATGACAGTGTTTTCAGGGGATTTTTTTTTTTGAAAAAGGTTAAGGTAATTTTATTGGGAATATAGAGAAAGATACAAACAGGCCCCCGGAAAGAAGGCTGACCCAAGAACCCGATTACATTACAACTCAAAGAGATCTCTCAAATTCAGCTGGGCTCCAAACTCCCTAGTTTGGAGACCATTTACAGAAGCAGTCCAAAACATCACTTTTCCAAAAGAAATAGAGATGAGGCTGTCTGTTTTTCAGGGGAATCTTTCTGTAAACATATGATTGAAAAAAGTTCGGAACACAATTGTTTTGACCAAGATTACCATCTTCCATCCAAATTTGTACATGTTAAAATACCTGCAGATTGAAATCTCCTCCATAGTAACAAATTTAGTTTTGTAGGCTTTGACCTAACTACCTAAGCAAATATCCTTGTTCATGTTGCATTGTTTAGATGCGAACCAATTTTGATGTTAATAGAAAACTCAACATCTGCAATTTGTCTGACTGATACTGACCCAAGCATCACCATATGGAAGATTTGGTTTGAAATAGCATGGTATTTGAAGGAATGGATAAAGTGGGGAATTTGAAGATAACAACAGAAAATAGATAATTAAGGTCGAAAACAGCAAAATAAATGTCATGCATTGGCATCCGGTGAGTTGCTTGAGTGTTGTTACCAAAACTAAAGATCCAAGTAGTATCTTAAACTGAATATTGATGGACACTCAAGATCCAATCACTTTAATGGTCAAGAGACTGGTTAGTCTGGTTTAGATGTCAATACCAACATTTAGAGCAGCTTTCTGTAGCACCTATGAGTTGGCATCAGATGTAGAGATAAGCTTCTTGATGACTTGTGTACATCAAAGATTATATGTCCAGTGATGATTTATGTAGGAAGCTTTTTTTATTGATAAAACTTTGATTATATTGATAGTGAAAAAACAGTACAAATTTAATTTGATGACCATAACATCATCCCCAATAACATCACTATGTTACAGAGATACCCAAAACAATTGCTGCCTTGCTACCCCTTGTTTAGAAAGGGAGTCAGCTAGCCCATTTGCACTCCTAGCCCACTTGAATTCAGCACCCAAATCTCTTGCAATCCTTTCTACTTCCCTATAAGAATTCTTGAGAGTCCAAGGAATGTTTCTATTACATCTTGCCCAAGAAATGATTACTTTTGAGTTCCCTTCCACCTCCAATTGGCATGATTTATGTAGTTAGTTATAACTTGAAGCATTTCTTGGTGATTTGATCCTTTTTAGGACAAAATAAAAATTAAATTCTTGGTCAGTTGCATAAATGACATGCCAGCAGAATCAGTTTACAGATTGGTTCTTGAGCTATTCATATTATTCCTCTAAGTTCTAGTTTTATGATCATCTCACCAATAGCTTCCAGATTCCCAAAAATTTATCAGCTTAACACAATGCATCTAACTAAAGAATCCCAGGCAGTACTTATTGAAACTAACAGCATTAAAAACTGATGACTGCACGTGTTCAGAAAATTCCCAAGTTCCCTGTAGGGCAATATCAGGTGGGTTAAATCCAAATATTCACTGTCTCTAAGTATATTAGTATATGCAAACATGGACCCCAAGAAGCAAATCAATTGAATATTTGAATAGTTGCATGCAATAACCTGTAAGCTAGAGCTTCTGCTGTTTTCTCGCAACTGCTTTTCCAATCTTTGTCTTCAAAGAAACTAATAATTGATTGCATGCAATCATACAAAAGTAATGATAAGCCTTGAAGACGACGGTCTAAGAATAGGCAGATAATAATACAAAGAAACTCTTGTGCCTCTGAAGTTGAGAAGATAGACCCTGTACCTCTGGAACAAAACACAGATGACCAGGTTAACATGAAAAGAAACAGAAGTAGAACATGTCCAAATCCATTTAAAGATGCAAATAACTATTCAAGCCATCATCAATGTACAAAACACATTTTGATATTGTATACCATTTTTTTATCAAGATACTGAATACTATCAATTAACCAAATTTAAGGCCACCGTCTTTTTACCACTAAATGCATGGCTTCTCCAGAAGAACAGTTCCAGTCAAACATACCTGATTCGGAAACAAGCAAGAAGAAATTTGATCCAATATCTAATATTTTGAGGTGGACCTTTAGAACCAGAATCTGAAATGAAGATCTTAGTTCAATATGTTGAATGACACCACTGCTACACAAAATTGAGATAACACACTGAGCACAATCAAGATAACTTTACGTACATGAAGCTTAGGAAATTATTGTTAGCAATTGATGCATACTGATTATTAAACAAGCATGCCTACTTGTATCAGATATTAAACAAGTTTTAAGAATTGGATACCTACTTGTCCCCAAAAATATATTATTATTAAACAAGCATGCCTATTTGTATCAGATAAATGACCTTACCATCTAAAGCAGTAACATGACAATAAAACTGTGCAACACATGAACAGTGCAACTGAAAATATTGCTAATTTTACATAACCAGTTTTAAGAATTGGATACCACTTTCCAGTTCCAATTAGTGAATCATCTAAAGTGGATTTGCACATTACAGTTCCATCCTCCACCTCATCTATAGAGACTGAAAAGGAAAAGGAACTCACCACCATGAGCCATATCTGAAAGGGATGAAATATCAATTGAGGAATCCAATACATATCCGTATATTTCAAGCGCCTTTTTCAGTTCAGCAGCACTAGGAAACCAGTCAATCCTAATGGATGGTGGATCAACCTGAATAAAAGTTATGAAAATTAAACTGTGGCAAGGAGAGTTGGAAAACAATAAAGAATGATAAAGTCAAACTTCTCAGACTTGAACTGAACTCTTACTCAAATTATCTGTAGAACAATAAAAATCAATATTACCTCATTTTTGGATGGAAGAATGGAGCACCAAAAGTCACATGCAGAAGACCTCAGTTCTTCACTTGATGAATACAACACTAATAAAACCAAAAAAATAAATAAATAAGTATAGGACAAAACATAAGAAACCATATGGAAACATGGAGAGGACAAAAAGACTAACTTAGATTAAAGGCCCAAATTGCTATGAATGCTTCCACGTCTCCAGACACAAAAACTAACTTTGAAATCCAACCATTTATCAATAATCTTTGAAGAAGTGTTTCCTCTGCAAGAACAAGATAGCAGGTGTTGTTCATAATATATTTACTGATGTGATGCTCTTAATCTGCCAAACTAAATTTATAAGAGAATTTTGGTTCGTGCAACTTGATACATTGGTTAGAACAATTGGGCACTATATCCTCCAAAGAAAAAGGATCCAGTACAGTAATAAATATGATTTCAGAGTGAAATATATAAGAAGGCAATAAGGAACTCAAGATCCAGAAATCATATGCATAGTGAAATGCACCAGTACATGTTAGCACTAGAATGAGGCAAAAATTAGTTTTATAGCTTAATGGTCACTAAAAAGTTTGAGGCACCAGAAATCAAAATTCAAATTAAATCAATATATCAAGTGGAAAGTGCCAGTAAATCATATTGAGGACTGCTCAAGCGCAGTGTTTTAAAAGGCGTGGGAGGCGTACGCCTGGAGGCGCTCCCAAAACGCCTGGAGGCGCTCCCAAAACGCCTTGAGGCGTATGCCAGAGGCGCTGACACCTCTGAGGCGTGCTAGAGGCATATGCCTCTTGCACCTCATGTACATCTGATATGAAAATACAGAAAAAATAAAAAAAAGAAAAAAGAAAAAAAAGGAAAGGAAAGGAAAAGAAAAGAAAAGAAAAGAAAGGGAAAGGGAAAGAAAAGGAAAGGAAAGAGAAGAAAAAAAGAGAAAAGGAAAGAAAAGAAAAGTAAGGGAAGGGAAGAAAAGATAAGGGGAAAGAAAATGGTTTGCCCCCTGTCCCTTCGGTTCGTTTCGACAAGACCCCCCCTTTGAACTACTGTTATGCATCTTTATTCTTCTTAATATAAAAGATTTTTATTAAAAATAAAGAAAAAATGAGATCCCCCCTTCCTTTTCATCCTCCTCATAACCCCCCTCCTCTTAAGGAGGCTTACGCCTCCTTGTATTCGGGAGGCTTACGCCTCTTGCGTTCTGAATTACGCCTCATGCCTCTAGGTAGTGGAACACCTTGCATCACGCCTCCGCGTTTTAAAACACTGTTCAAGCGAAAATAATGAAAAAAAAAAGAAAATACCTAAAACTCTCAACTTGCAAAACCATTATAAATATCAATTGAGAAAAATACAGGGAGAAGAAATTAAGATGAAAGAACCCAGTTATCTCAATGAAGAGAAATCTAATATGGGTTGTTTAACACCTCCAGAGCCACTACATTGTTTTCACTTACCACAGCTTATACGAGTCTTTAATGCAGTGGCTCTCCAAAGCATGTATTTATATTGCTGGAACATAGGCTAACCATATTGGCCAGTAAAAGTCAAATTCTACCTTGATTCTTAGATTCAGTAAAACCTACAGCTTGTTAGTTCATGGACACAATAATAAGCACCAGTCTGCTGAGTCAGAAGAAGCATAGCATGTTCTTGCCTAGATATTCACCAATCGCCCTTGCATGCACGTTCACATAACGGATATGGATATTCGAAATCTCTTATGAAAAAAAAAGGAACCAAAGCAAGATAATGCGAAGGATACTAACAAGAAGTACATATGTGAGAAAGATAAATGCAAAATGAACGAGCCAAAAGCAACACCTTTCTCAGCACTCAGTTCCAGAAACGAATTCTCTTTGCTATTCATGAAAGACTCCAGAAGCTTGCATCTACCAAGCTCAGAAAAAACAAGCGGTGGAGTTGCCTTCTGCAATTCATGAAAGGTAGTATACCTGTTATTCCTATTATAAGGACTTCTAACAAAGACCTCAAAATGCTGTAAAAGCAGAGAGATAAGAAATGTTGGGTACAAACCTGGTTTCCGAAAACCGGTAGACCCCATAGAGGGAACTCATCCTCGTTGCTTACGTCTTGCATCTATAAAAGAGTCAGTCAGTGAGTATGCAATATGCAAATAGTTCAAGTAGCAAAAATTCAATAAATTTGTTCATTTTACCGTCTTTTCGCACTCTCTGAAACACCTGGACAGCGAAGCCTCTTTGTTCTTCTGAACCGTGTCATCGTCATCGTCTGAATTGTAACATTTACGGGAAGTCCTCCGTTTTGACTCCTTCTCAATATTCTTACTTTGCTCCTTGTAGAAATCCTGAAGAAGATCATCCAAACCAATAACCTTCTTCCTGGAAAAAGAAAAATGGTAGGTTATGTTGTATTGTCCAAAACCAGTAAGCATGTTCAGCATTATGTGGTATTACCAAAATGAGGGGGGGTTAGCCCATTGCGCATTGCTTCCCATACAAGGGGGCTTAAAATAGCTGAACTTGTAACTGTTTGTCCTCCCTAAAAACGCTGAAAACTATCATCACTCCAAGAACTAGGCAACCGTTCAGTTACTAAAATTCTCAACAACTAACGACTTGTTAAAGTACATAGGATGCGCCCCAGCAATGGAACTCTAAGTTCATTGAGAACCCATATACGAAATTAATGGAAACACACGAAGAAGTCCTACCCAATTTGTGTTTTCGAATAGGAAACGTAAATAACAGGAACAAGAAATTAGGGTTTTACGGACCTTTTCTTTGTGGGAGCTGTGGAGATGAAAAGCGGGTCTTCGTTCTCGAAATCAAGGGGGGCATCCATTCTCTCACTCACTCTCTCTCGTGCTCCTTACGCTACCGTATAACGCTTTCAATTCTGATGTCTGAACTCTGAACTGTTCGACGATAGTGCGACTGTGCAACTTCTTTCAAAGTTTCTGTGAGAGTGAAGGAACCACCAAAACTAAACGCGGTATGGGCCGTATGGCCGGAAACTCTTCTCCTTTTTTCAAACAAGGGAAATTTCGTGATCAGTATACCCTGTATTTTGGCTTCAGTGACATTTTTGATATTTTCGAAATATATATATATATATTAAAAATAATATTTTAGAATATATTTTCTAGAAATATATTTAAAACTGAAATATACATATTATATATAATATTTCAGTGAGAATATATTTATAGGTAACTCGGTTCAGTTTCGATTTTCATGTGTGAAGATTGAAACCGAACCGAATTATCAATTTACTCATCTTTCCAACCCAAAATCGATTGATGATGAAGAAAAATCGGTCAAATCGGGTTGGGTCAGGCCAGGTCGGTCGGTTTGAACTTATTTGTGAATAGTCATAGTTGATAAAGAGAATTAGATGGCATTCAAATGGCATTTTTTGACTTTTCAAAACTTAACGGACTAGTTAACGATAGGTATTGGATTGTCACATTTTGAAAGTTTAAGTACTGGATTGTCATATTTTGGAAGTTCGGGTACTGAATTATCACATTTTAAAGTTTAGGGACCAAATTGTCACTCAAGCCAAAATACAGGATACTATGGGGAATTTGTTTCCCCTTTTTGAGAGAATTATAGACAACCGTGTACTTAGGGGATATTGATACTTAACTCCCCTATCTCATTTTGTTTTTTGCGAAAAATACCTCAACTTTTGAATCAACACTTTAATCCCCCTTACCCCTTCCATTAGCATTCCATAGCTAATACAATATTCTTTATTTCTACAACCCTAAACTATCCTTGTTTTAAGACACCATTTTGCCCTTTTAGTCAATTTTTTATAAGGTCCTAAATCTCATAATTTCTTGAATTTATTTAGATGGGTTTCACCTTAACACCTTGAGGATGATTGATAGGAAATGCAATGGTGTAGGTTTAGGGTAGGGATCATATTCCCTGATTCCAGCATTGATTTTGATCCCAACTTCTGATAGGGATAAAAGTTATCTTCCATCCTTGATCCCTTATGGAGATGGGAAATTTACTTAAAATGAAAAAATTTAATTTTAAATAATATTTAAATATATTTTGATATATAATATGAACACTATCATATATGTATATATATATATATATAAGTTGCCATCCCTAATGATTGATTGATTCATAAATGCCTTCAAGAACAAATTATGCTTTATCATTGTCATTCTCATCATTTTGGCATTTTTTTAATTATCCATGGAATATTGACATGGCGATTTAATAATTTTGTCTATAATTAACCCAGTAGCAAGTTAGGGGTAAAGTGCCAGAACCTAAAAGTTTGGAAGGGGCCTTTGTGGTGAAACAAAGTTTAAGGGTTAAGCATTATGACCTCGAAGCACAAGCTGTCTAATTATAATTTAGATTTGTCAGCATTTGAATTGAATGTAAATGAATATCGATGTAAAACTCCACTTCAGTTTGGATTTGTCAGTGTTTGGATGGAGTGGAGATTTATGTCATGAACCAATGTAAAACCTCATAAAACATAAAGTTTACATTGATTATCGATGTAAATACTATATGTAAAAATTTACACTTTTCTCATCATGCTTTTTAAAATGTAATGGTCACTTTTGCATAGTTCGGTATAAAACACCAACGATGTACTCTTACACAGATGATGTTTTACACCGATTCCAAAACGCAGCCTTAATAATATTTGAACATTTGAACATGAAATATTTTTCTTCTATAGTCTAGCCTTGTAGGTGTAATCATGGCCAAGTAGGCCCAAGCTTAATACGGATAACCATGGTGTTTTATTGGAGATTTTAACAAATTCAAATCAGTTGAAAATAAGTTAGGTGGAAGAGAGCCTCTACCTAGTCAAATTCGAAATTTTAATCAATTTTTGAATGATTGCAATCTTATGGAGCTTGAAATGAAGGGTAATCAGTTCACTTGGAAAAATAAGAATATTTGGGAAAGAATTGACTAGGTATTTGTGAATGAAGATTGGAGAATTTTATTCTCAAATGCTTCTCTCTATAACCTACCCTCCTTGGCTTCAGATCATTCCCCCATTTTAATACATACAAGTTTGATGAATTTTTTGGATCCCAAACCTTTCAAATCCGAAGCTATGTGGTGTATGGAATTTTTTGGGTCCCAAACCTTTCAAATATCTGTAAGGTTGTTGGTAGAGGTTGGAATATTGAGGTAAATAGGATCTTAGGCTATCAGATTTATTAAAAGGAGAAACAACCTTGCAAAAAAGCTAAAAAAGTGGAGCAAAGAACATTTCGGCAACACCTTCCAAAAAAATAAAAAACTAGTTAATAGATTGAATCAAATTCAGAAAGACATTTCTGAATATCCAAATAATATCACCCTCTTAAATCATGAAAATGCTCTTCAAAAACAACTTGATAAATTGTTGGAAAGTGATGAGGCTTATTGGGCTCAAAGAGCAAGAATTGACTGGATCGATTTGGGAGACATGAACAATAAGTTCTTTCATACAATGACTACTATTAGAAAATATCGAAATAGAATTATTAAAGTAAAAAATGATGAGGGCAACTGGATCAATGACCAACTAGGAATTACATCTCACTTCATAAAAAATACAGACAAAGGTTCAAATCATAGGGTATTTGTGGAATCAAAGATTTCATAAATGAAATTGACCAATGTGTTACTGAGGAACAAAATGATCAAATATATAGAGATGTTACAAATGTTGAGATTCATGAGGCTCTTGAATCCATGAAGGATCTCAAGGCTCCACGCCTACATGGCTTAAATGTTTTATTTTTCAACAAAAATCTAGAATATTATAAGAGATTCGGTGTGCGATGTAGTTAAAGCTTTCTTTCATAGCATAAAATTATCTAGGATTTTGAACCAAACTTTTATCACTCTTATCCCAAAAAACAAGAACCCTAAAACTATAAATGATTACTGATGATGCACAATCCGGCCGATCTTAGCTGTCAACGATCTTGCCTCTGAACTGAGTGGCAAGGGACCTGAAACGGAGGGGGTGAAGAAGCTCCGGGGAGAACCCGGCGTAAGGGCTCCGAAGCTCAAGTTAGAGTCTTTCAAAGGCAAGATA